GAACAAAAAGGCTTAATTCTTGAACTGTCCAGGAGAACGAGAACAGTGTGGAGAGCCCAGCCCCACCACCATGGCTGCCTCGACCTTCAGGCACCGTGCAGCAGCCCATGACTCCCATGGGGACTCAGGCCAGAGCTTCTGAGGACTGGGTGCCAGCAGCCTGATTTCCAAGAGAAAACACTTTAGGGACACCTTGTTTCCACAAGGAAACCCACCCATTCAGCCCAAGAAGCAATAGTTTCTTGCATCAGAAGACAGATGGCTTCTGTGGGAAAATAAACTGCCTTGAAAATTCAGTCAGAGATTTTTCAAGGAGCTAGGTCCTCCTGGTTGGAGAAGTCGATGGTGTCTTAGCATTTGAGCCTATTTCCTGAACTCTCTGATTCATCCCCTGCCACCCCTGAGGTCAGGTCTGTCCTTATTGGTAACGGCTGCAGCTGGCACTCCTCACCTCTCCATGCAGTCTCCTTGCAGCTAATCTGCAGCCAGCTGTACCCAGGGGCCAGAGGGAGGTAGGGAGCAGACTGGCTCCTTCCAACTAAGCAGGGCAGCAGGGAAGGGGTCTGGGCAGCAGGCCCTGGGGGGGGGGATGCCCAAGGGATCCCTAAGCTTTGCACTTCCTGAGAAGAGCAAGCCATTAAGCAGGTAGGTGCTTTGGCTTTTTAACGCTCCTGTAGTTAATCGCTCTGACTCTTTCTGCCTTCCTCCTTCTGGCCTTGTGCTCCTAATATGTAATCTGATAGCTTCGTTATTATTTTTTCTTTAATGGCTGTCTTCTCAAAGACTGCTGTGTGCATGTTGATTAAACTTGGAACGTTATAGTTTGTTGTTGTTGTTGGTCTGAATTCAGAAATATGGAAGACAAATATTTTCTCTCTCTGCTTTTTATGTTTCTTTTTAACTCTTCATCCACAGGCCTCCCAGTAACATTGGATACAGGAGAAAATACACTGGCAGTGAAAAACAAGATGAACCAGTTATAGTTTTAGATCCTGTTTCCTCACACGAACCCCAAACCAAAGACCAGGTTGTTGAAAAATATCCAACTCAGTACAAGGAGGAGGAAGGCAAAACTGAACCAGAATTCAAAGAAGACAGCGTTGAAACAACGAGAGAGACGGACAGCTCCAGCTGCTGATCTGCAAACCAGAAGGCTGGCTGTTGGGAAGTCCTTTTCAATAAGCACATGACTCATCTTGGTGTATTGTCAAGGGCTATAGACACTTTTCTCTGGTCACTGTACTCAATAGGTCTTTTCTGGTGTCACTTTTGTAAGTAGCAACTATAAGCATCAGTGAGCTATTTAGCAAAATACACATTCTAAGTAGTTTTTGTTTTTTGATCTTTATAGGGATAAGGTATTTCCTAGTTACTATATGTATTAAGTATGACTTCTTTTACAAGGTTACAAAAGACTCAGATGTTGATATCTTTTTAGGAAATGTGCATACCACTCATCAATTTTAGTAAGGCTGAAAGTTCAAGGTGTTTGTAGATAATTGGGTAAACAGAACTGACCAACTCCACATAATTTAAAAAGCCCCCCCAAGAAGCTTGTGTTTAGGGTCTGGTCCTCTCTTGATGGACAAACTGCAGCAGTTTGGGAATGTTGGGTGCTGTGGCATGCAAATTATATTCAAGGGTAGATGCAGATAAACTTCAAACTCAGGAGCTGGCATCAAACTAGTAGTCCCTTGAGTCTGTGTTAACCGTTGTTAACTGTTGGATGTTAACTGTTGCCCAGTGCCTCCCAGGGACTTCAGTGGGAATGTTCTGGTTGCCTGAATACAGAGTGGAGGGGCAGGTCCAAACCTCGAATTTCACAGTAATATCTTGGTAAACCATGTTTTCTGTCCTATGAGTTAATTGTGTTTTCCCATATACGAATGTGGCACAAGTACCATATTTTATCACAGTTCTTATGTACAGTGAAGATAAGTGACAAGCACACATTTTTCTTGCTTCACTGCTGTTCTACATTACGCAGGTTTATTTATTTTTTTCCATTAAAGAAATTAAGTGGTAGTTAGTCTCTAAAAATACAATGTTTCAGGCTACCACAGTGAATAAATAGAAATGTAATCAGGGATTTTTTTTAAAAAAACTTATGCAGCTTTTCAAAGTTGATTGTTTCAAAATTGGTGTTTATTTAAAATAAGTGGTAATGTACTTGAATGCACTTTTTTATGACAACGATTCAGTAATGGTAATTTTACTATTAAAGAAAGTGAAAGGTTTAGTTTTGTTAGCATGACTCAGCATGTAGCTGTCAGGTGTTTCTCACCTAAGGGCAGGAGAAAATGATAGTAATAATTGCAGTAGTCGTATTGTATTTTTGCACGTGTGCTTGAGCATTGGAGAGGTGGGAGGCAGTGAACATACTTCCTCCAAGTGGAGACAATTATCTTCCTGTAGGTTCCTTATGCTCAACTCCTTCCATGTTCTTCCAGTGATGATTTTCCAGTTTCCTATCAGTTTACTCGTGGGGAATTAAAATGTAATGATTTTCAACTGTATATTTCCCTAACTGAATAATATTGCTATATGGTATTTAACTACAAACTGATGAATTCGCTTAGATGAGTTCTGTTATGCTGTGATTTGAACTCTCCTCACCAGAAAGTATTAAAAGAGAGAAAAAAAAAAAAAAAAGCACCAACAGTTTCCATTAAGGGTCAATTGTGGTTATTGACTTGTTGTTTTGGTTTTGGTTTTGGTGGTGCTGGGGTCTGAACTCCAGAGCTTTGCATATGCTACCTCGAAGCTACATCCCCAACCCCAAAACTCAGCCAACCTTGACATTCTTTAATAAGATATTTGTATAAGTTGATGAGTTTAGTAATTTTTGATGACACAAAGAATGGTTTCCACTGAGCAGCTCTCCTCTGTTTCTGCCATGGCCTGCTGGTGTGTGCGTTGTTTGCGGTTAGGAATATGAACACCACGCACACCAGCAGGATAACATGGTTATAAAAACTCCTTTGTGTCCAGCAAAAGTACTTCCTGTTTGGTGAGATGTGCCACCTGGGCCAGGCTGCAGTCCGCACCTGGTACTTTCCATGTTCTCTTTCCAAGCTGCCTACTGTACTTCCCCCGTGACCACGAAACACCTTAAGTTACCGTGACATAAAGATATTTGATGAAGATCGTTTACTCACCTTTTTCCTACAGTTTTTCCCTTTTCACTTCAGTTTTCAAGTTTGCCCCTGCTGGGCGTAACTGTCAACAAAGCAGCTGGTCCCAGATAGTAAGAAATGGGGAGACCAGTGTTTCTGTCTTTAAGGTATGTTCTCGGCTATTTACACCCAAAACGTATACCACTTTAAAACTGGGAGGAACCGCATGTTTTTGTTTTCTCTAAAAGGGCATTTGTTTTTCCTTCTGTCTGGGGGATAATAGATTAAATCTCTGCTAGTTTTCTTAACTAACGTTGATATACTTTCATAACCACAGTGAGACAGAGGAATAGAGGTCCTTTATGCTGTTGCTTCTTAAAAAAAGAAAAAATGTCTCTCTCTTCTCTGGAAGAATAAGAAGAATTGAATTAAAATTCTTGCACCTTTTGTGTCTGAGCTAGTCTCAAACTCCTCACCTACAGTCATTTTAGCAATTGATCAGCCCCATGGAAGTTTTGATTGTCAGGGTCACCAGGGCCATTAGCACCCAGCCTTGTTTGGTCTGAGTAAAAAGAAGATGGATATTTTGGCTCCGACTGTTCATCAATAATTCCTCCTTCCTTACCTTTGTTAACAGTAAAAGGTTTGTTGGAAATGGAGTAGTACAGGTACAAATTACTGTTGATTCTTTTTCCAGACCATTCTTAGGTTGAGTGTCAGGTAAGTGATAAGTCTGTGTTAGGGAATCTTAACAGAGCCTGGGTTATTTTCCTAAATGCACACTATGTGTGTGTAATCACTTCATCATGTGATAACCTCAGCTTCTGTGCCAACAGCTGTGGGTGGTATGTAACCGCCCGCCATCACCACTGACCTTAGAAGGGCAGGCAATCCTCACGACAGGGTCAGAATGGTTGGAAGTTTCTTCCAGGCACTCGCGTTTCCCCATCCCTCTCATTTTTAAACTGGGATATGCCTAGTTTCTTTCATCTATTTTGCAGATAGTGATATTATTATTATATATGTTTTATATTACATAACAGAGAGTTTTTATATTTATAGTATAAATAGAAAGTGTTCTTGGGGCCCTAAGTCTAAATTAAAATGCTTGCTGTCCGTAGGTGAGCCCAGACCTCAAGTGAGGTTAGCGTGAGTGGACTGTGCTTTGTGTTGAAATTAAAGTGCTGATCTGGTGAAGGTGATAAGTCACCTCTTTGGTTAATTGAATTTAATTAGTTTTTGCTCTGGTTTCATTGATTTCATTATAATTCATGTCACAGTTTGGGGGCACACTTAGGATTTATGTATGTGTGTGCATCTGAGGATATTTGTACTCCCTTTAAAATGAACTTTCCTTCCAGTTTGTCCTGCCTAGTATTGGTTGCTAAGCCTCAGGAGAGGTGGTGGCAGCCACAAACTGGGACACAGTTCTCCCAGCTTAGAGTGATACCAACCAGTTCTCTGTCCCAGTCCAAGTCCAACTTGAACTGCTCTGAGTCTGCCATGGAGCCAACTTTAGATGGTAACTTCGGCTCTGCCGAAAGGTCATTAAGTCTCCTTGTTCATACTTTTCAAAAGGAGAGGCCCTCTGTGTGTTTGGTAAAAATGTAGAGACTGTGTCTGAAGTCCAAGTTCAGCCAACTCTCCTACAGGTCAGTTCATGGCAATTTATGTAAATTTTAACTAAAGGAAATGGTAGCCCTTTTAACAGAGAACCCAGCCATATAAAGCAGTAGGACATGATCATATCTATAGATGTGTGTTTGAGTTTATTTACTATCTCCTCTGCTGTAACACTAGCTTTCAGAGAGCCAGGTCAGCAGCATCTCACTTTTAAACACTTGCTGATCACTTTTTAAATGGTGCTGTATAAACAACTGGATATTTAAGAACCACAGGATTATTTATTCACTTATGTACTTATTAATCTATACCCATTCTTGTTTTAAAACAGATCTAAGGAGATTTACAAAGATAATATATAAGGAAAACTAAAATTTAAGAGGAAGCAGGAAGGAGAGGAAAGGGAATTGCTTGTAGAGAAGTGAGATAAAGCTGTTTGGTGGTTGAAAACAAGGCGACGCTCTGTGCTCCTATGAGGTTGGCCACAGAAAGGCCAGGTGGGGTTGAGGAGCAGGTGAGCCCAGGAGATGGCACCTACTTCCGGCACCAAGAGCTTCTTGCTGAATTAGGTTTTTGCTTTTGAGATGTTCTGCTCGGTAAAGGATGAGGTGTTTGACTGAATGCCAACATGTCACACAAAAGAGTGTGCCCCAAAAGTGTGACTCCAATTGTAACTAAATGAATGAAACCAGAGCTAAACTAATTATTTTGTTTCAACAGTACAAGTATTGGCCTCTGATAAAAGCAGAACATGATCTTGAAAAGTGGACAAAAGATCCCGTGTCCCCATGGAAATATGATGGCTTAAAAAAAAAAGTTCACAGATAAAATTTCAGGCAAACACACCATATATTACCAAACAGCTAAATTAAAAGAAAAAGCGCATGCGTTAGTGGTGCTTAAGAGCAGACTCGGTGCAGGGATGTACTTCACAGCTGCCAGCCCGACACTCACTGCACGCCGTGCCTTGCACTACTGCCCCTGGCTGGAAGAGGCTCACATTTTGGCCAACTCCTCTACAACCTCCGTGGGGAAGATGGGCTCTGGAGGCTCAAGCAGCTCACCAGCACCAGCAGCCGCCTCAAGGGCCTTCTCAGCATTCTCATTAAAGTCAAAAAAAGTGTGTTCTTCTTTGAAACCTATTAAAAACAACAAAAATAAATTTACTGTCTAATGTAGCTGTGCTGATATTATATATCACATGATTTGAATGACATCCTAGTCAAAACTATCTATAGGAGTCACATCACTATCAGAAAAGTACCCAGAACCACTTAAACCAGGTCCGTCTTTGGTTAGGCATTAACTGTGCTATACCATACACACCTAAGAGGACATTCTGCAGTGTTTGATGTGTTGTGACAGAGCTTAGCAGAAAAGGGTACCAGGAAAAACTAGAGGAGAGGCCCACACTGCTTGAATGCAGACCACCTGCTCCAAGAGGACCAGGGGCAGACTTGGACTATTCCAATCAGGCCCACAGTGGTAGTTTTAGTGGTTGAGATTCTGCCAATATCCTCTAATCAAAGGTGGTAGTGGAGAGATTGGTTTTGCCTGTTTTGGGTCCTCTTAGCATGTAGTGACCAGTGTCTGAGAAATTCTCAACTAATCCCTTAATCCATTTTGGAACCCCCAGATGGCTGCACTAACACCTGAGGAGGGCTTGTCCCTCTGGTTCCTAGGTTTGTGATGCTCTGAAGCAGCTGTGTTCCTTGTGAAGTGGCTGGAAATGTGAGAGACCATTTAAGGAAACTGTGGCCTCTTCTAGTCAAGATGACAGACAACGTGTAGAACAATATAATTTAACACATTTGAAAAAAATGAGCTTTTGTGTTACACACTTTTAAACAACCAGATTCACTGTTGATGCCTTTACATAACTCAAAATTGGTCTCTCAATTATACTTTCATTTTCTGTGGATCTGTGAGTATATGTAAACATGACAAAATTTTTAAAAATCACAATTTTTACTGGTCTCTTTAAATGTCCCTGCATGCCACAGTCTCCTTTCAGGTATCACAATAGTAATATAAAAAATAAAAATGCATGTTTAGGATGTTTGTCTCCAACCACTACACAAGGTGCTTCCTCATATGCAGATTTATAAAGGTAGCATTTCTTAAACGATCAATTGATTTCTCTTGAGATCTTAGCCTTCCCAATATACAGTAGAATTAGCACACTGCCTCCTGGTTTTAAGTAAACCAAGTTGCCTCCAAGAACCATCAGAAAAACATCTGCCTTTAACTTTCAGACTGTGCAAAGAAACCTTAAGGATAATTTGGACCATGACAAAAGGTAGGCTTGGAGATTCCTATCAATTAATTCTATTGAAAAGCATCAGGCCAGATTTTAACACTCAGGTAAACAGATAATCCATTAAGGCAACAATGTGCATTGTGGCAAGTGCCATCTTAGTTTTGTCAGCACTTATTTATAGTCTTTGGATTCCCCTGCCCTCCTACCGAGGGACTTCTATTCCCCCTGGTCCAATCTTTGTTCTCTTATTCATGGCGAAGTGAAAACAAAGCGAGAAGGTAGCACGTACCCAGCGTTCCCTCGTGGACCAGTTCCTCCTCTATAGTCAGAAGGCGGTTGTATTTAGTCACCCATTCACCACGAGAAAGGCCCCCCAACTTGATAAACCGGACCCCAAGTCCAACGGCCTGAAGAGGAAACATTTTGGATGGGAGGGTCATGTTTTGCTGAGCTACAACAATGATTTGAAGAGAAGAGCTGTCGCGGTGTTGTGCTGGGGTTTCCCCCTTGTATCTTCATATTGTATTTTTATGGAAGTAAAGTGACCTGCTCACAAGCCGAGAGTTTGAAAGGCAGGCAGATGGTGTGACTGACTGTCCATCGGGCGCTTTACTAGTCGTGTAAGCATGCTGATTTTATCTAAGAATAGGCTGGCCTTTCTCACTTCATTTTAGGAGGGAAGATTGCAGGGACACACCCCAGTCATTTAAGTGCGCTCGTCATTTTCCTTGGACTTCAATTTTGCTTCTTTTTTAAAAGTTCAAAGATTAGCTCTTTACAAAAGGTAGCAGTCTGGGAGGAAGCAAGTCTATTTCATAAAAGGTTACATGACTTTCTCCACCAAAGACAGCATTTCTCTGAAATACCAATTCGTGATAAAAGCAGTGTTTTGGCAATTCTGCAATTGACCAGTGTTCAGCACTTACCATATCGACAAGGCTGTCATCAAGACACTCTCCTTCTGTACTTCCAAGGATGGTGAGGTGCTTCTTACCTGGGAGAGCAATTCCTGTCAGTTTTGTGTGGTGGCAGAAGCAGTTCACACATAACAGCCATGGGGTCCAAATTAGAAATTGGCCAGAGATTTAAAACTTAAACTTTAAGAATTTAAAACTTTTAATTTTAAGAACAGAGAGCAGAGTCAGTTATTTGACCACCTAAGAATTCTAAGGTAGACACTTGCATTTTCTCATCTAAACATTGCGCTGGGTTTATCTGTTTAGTCTTCTTTCTAGTACCTTAGATGCTGTGGGTACTATATACCACATTTCATCACATTTAAGATTTGTTACTTATGAGATGCACTGCCATTTTATCACCACTGGAAAGGAAGAAATGTTCACTTCGGATCGACATGTTTCTAGGACCTCAGCTCCAAGACATGATTCATTTTGTTGCTGTTCCACATAAGAAAATACGCGCCTTCAAGTCAGTGAACTGTGGTAAGTACATGGGCAGCGACTGTGGAGTTGATAGCCTGTATTATGACTTTCTCACTTCATATAGAATTTTATTCAAAGGCATCTGTTTTTATGAATATTTAGAAGAGCAATATGGGTAGTATTTAATCATTTGAAGGCCTCAGGACCCTTAAAGTTTGCCAAAGCCTATGAAGGGCACAGGCCAGAGTCCTTACTGTGGCGACAGTTTGCCATCTGCAGTGATGACAGAATGCCTACTGAGGGGTGGGCCTGAGGGGAAAGGTCATCTGACTCAGATGACTGCCCTGCCTGCCATTCCATCCTCTGGCACCTGCCCTGGCCCCTGGCTGCCAGTCAGGCTCTTAGTCCTGCTTTGGGTCTGAGACTGCCCTTGTGTCTAGTTTCCAAAGCCTGTTCATGGTATTTATGTGTCTTGCACAGTACATAAGGACCCACGATGCCCATGAACTCACTGGAGTTCACAGTCCAGTGGGAGATATCAGCCATTAAATAATCAGACATTGTGGTCAGCACTACAAAAAGAAAATATACGATGGTACAAGGAAGGTTCGGAGCAGAATCAGGGTGGGGGAGGTCTGAGGAGGCCTATGCATTCACAGGCATTTCACTTAGGACCTGAAGGATGAGTAGCTAGCCAGGTAGATGGCCCAGAGAAAGGCATTCTAGAGCAAAGGAAAAGCATGTGCAGGCTGAGAGGTAGGAAAGAGTTTGAAAGTTGCAGAATTAAAAAAAGTAAGCATGGGCAGTGGGATGAGCACAGTGTTGTGGGGAAGCTATTTAACCCTGCCATGGCTCATTTCTCTTAGGTAAATGGAGGGACAGTGTGTGCTGTGCATTTCACAGGGCTGCTGTGAGCATTAAATCCAAAGCTAAACGCTTTATGTACTACACAAAGATGCTCTTCTCTGTCATCCCAGGCCGATGAAAAAAAAACTTTTCAGCTGTCCCCAGAGCTGGGCTAAGGACCTGCTTCCAGATGCTTCCTTGATGCTACCCAATTTGCTCACCTGCCCAGCAGCTTCCTATTGCTGTAGGTGAACCTGCCTCTGCCCCTGGTCACTGTACTCAACAGAAAACTGCCTGCTTGTGCTGATGGGGTCCTCTTGCTGCCTGTTTTCTTAACTGGGAAAGTAGACCCATTCCCTGCTGCAGGTGATCCAGTTCAAACTCTGATCCCTCCACCAGACTTCCCTAAGGCAAGGCAAGGCAAGTTCAAGTGGCTAAATTGATTGCAATCAAGTAACGTTACATCCTTACTCTGTACCTAGGCTCTGCTCTCTGTTTTTAAGTTGTTACGGAGAGGAACCTAGAGCACAAAGCGATAGTGAACAGAAGGAATCTATAACACCTTAGCCAAGTGACATAGGCCAACTGCCTCTGTCTCTGCAGCTCCCTGGTGGTGCCTGACACCTTGTCCTTTGTGAGTGCTAAGCTGACTTCCTGAGCTTTCAACACTGTGCTCTGTCTAGAAATCTGACTGGAGTACCAGCTATTCTGCTGTCCACTATTCAGAGTCCGTGACCTAGCCTTTAGCTGTAAGGTTCTGGGTTTCTCTAAAGCTTTTCTATCTCCTAAGCTCACAGCCTCAAGCAAACTGAGAAATGTGCTAGTGGCTGTGCCTTATAAGAAATCAGGCCTTGCTTCTCCTGTTAGAGGCTGAAAAGCCCTTCCCACTGTGAAGCTGATGGGGTAGCCTTGACCACACCTGTGTGGTGGCCCTCAGTATGGGGGATGACCTGGTAGACTAGGGCTGTTTCTGGAACCTTGTGAATCACCAAGTTATGGTTTGTTTTCCAGCACTGAATCTCCCATAAAATGGCTGGGTTTTCTTTTCTTTGGAGATTTATTCCTTGCTTTTTAGTAACTTGGGTACACTTCATATTTTTGGCTTCTTGTATAACCAAATCATTATGAGTCTTTAGATTTATATTTTACTCACTGTCAATGATGTTGGTTATTTCCACCAAGTCAGACATAGTAGTTTGGTTTGTATGTTTTATGATCAGTCCATGGGATCTGGGGCTGCCGATGCCTCCTTGCTCTAGAAGTTTAGAAATGCTTTTGGATGCAGTTCCTGCAATTATGTAGCACCTGGAACTGAGAGCATTATAGATGCTGTCCCACTGTTCAGCGTCCTGGGTAAATATTTAAGAATTGATCATTCTAATGTACAGTACACAATCACAAGCTACAGGAATCATATAGCACATAATCAAAGTCATACACTTTTCCTGAGACACACAAAACATTTTCTTTCACATCCATGCCTGAGTGATTCCTGTACCTTAGCCACACAAATTAGCAAGCTTCATGGAAGATAAACTTCAAGTGATTTAATTTGAATTTAAAGATCTTGTGAATAAAATGTCAATGTGCTAAATGCCATTCCCACATTGACTGTGGTGTTCTGCAAACCCAGGCTGTTGTCATCCACTGTACCACCCCTAATGCTGTTCACAACTCACTGGATAGAAGATTTTTCTGTTATTTCTGATAAACATAAAACTGAAAAGATAGGACCTTGCCAGGGCTCTCCGCCATCTTTCTGAAGGCCCTTCCCTGTTTTTATTGGTGAAGGTGTCATATGAAATGAAATGCTTATTTAACAAATGGTGTGTGTGTCTGTATATATTTGTATATGCACAAATCTACACAAAAGGTCATCCACTAGGCTAATTTCAACCTACCCCATTAGAACTGACCACACAGGTGCCCCCTATCACAGGAAAAAAAAGCTGAGGCTGGGGGCTGGGGTTGTGGCTCAGCGGTAGAGCGCTGGTCTAGCATATGCAGGGCCCTGGGTTCGATCCTCAGCACCACATAAAAATAAATAAAATAAAGTTATTGTGTTCAACTACTTCTGAAAAATAAATATTAAAAAAAAAAAAAGCTGTGGTCAGAGCCTCAGAACTGTCCTCACAAGGAGAGTCTAGCATGAGTTCAGTGGGTGTCTTCTGAGAATACTGATAAGTAGCAGGCCAGGAAAGGATGGAAGGAACTGTCCCCAGATCTCAGTAAGAAAGGATGTTTGTCTGTCTTTTCAATATACTGTGGACTCTCAAATTCATTAAATCAAGAATTCTAATTTTGGAGTTTGTTTGAAGTGGGGGAGAGATGACCTTCTATGATCTATAGACAGTGCTTGTCGGGTGCATTTGTTTAAACAGGACAAAAATCTCAGTATCTCAAACCCTTTTTAAAAAGATGGCTTTTTGTTACTTTTATGCATATATAGTAACTGGATTTAGGTTAAAAAATATTTGGCCTCGCAGAAGTCCTGTTTCCATGAGCACATGAAAATGACATATGATTAACCCACTGAAGCACCAGCGAGCGCAGCGGGGGCGGCTTCCATCAGCTACGTTGCTTGTAAATACACAGGTACTCCTGAAGGGCTGGCGAATGGCTTGTTTCATTCCACAGACAGGCATGCTCCCAGGTAATTGTGTTTCTGCTATTCATTTGCTTAGTAAGTGCCTTTCTCATAAATGCCAAAATAAAGCAAGTTAACCCCAGCTCAAATTATAACACATTCCAAATGACAGAGATCCAAAAGAATGAGGTTTTATTCTGTTTTGTTGTAAAATGCAAAAGGTAAGCCTGCTTACTTTATAGCGTATAAAATATATGTTATAAAATATAAAAAGTAGGCCCTGCTTACCTCCTTCCTGAAAGGATCAATTAAGGCTATAATGTAAGGGTACTTGTTGATCAAATCCACATACAGGTCAACCATCTCGGCGGCACTCTTGTAGACGCCCGCCATCACCTCGTACTTTCCTTTGCTCTGATGTGTGTAAGGAAAACAGTAAAACAAAGAATAAGCAATGGACTCTTCAGATGTTAAAGATGCAATTCAAATTCCTTTCTGTTCATTTCATATGAAATACTGCCAGCAGATTCAAGTCACATTCCTCTAAGAAATTTATGCATTTGGCTTCAAATATCTTTAAAAGATTATCCTGGGAAGCCAAGTCACTGTTCCTCTTGATGCCTTTGGAGTTCTTCCCACAGACATCGGATGGAGCCTTCTGCACAAAAACCCAACAGGTAGAGAGTGGGAGGGGACTTGTTTTTTATTTAGACTTCTGATATGGTGCCAGGTGCCCAGCTGCCTGGGTAGGTGGACAATAGCATGAATTCATAAAACAGTGAACAGAATAGCAGTGCAAACCTGCCCACTTTCTAGAACCCACCGTCTTGCAACTCACTGTGATCAAATGATTTGTTTCCTTTACTGTAAATATTCTAAACTTTGAAAACAGGGCTAGGTTTGGAGTACTAACAACCAATATGGAATCTGAATGAAGGCACTTTGTTTTCAAGGAGTATGAAACTTCCAGAGGGAACCATACTGTCCTGAAGTGGGATTCTAGGGCAACCCCACTTAGTTATTAAGTATGGAAATAAACAGGGCTGGAAGATTCAGGTTTGTCTTTTCGCCAAAGCTCCCAACGTTCAAAGCTATGTGCAGGGATAGTGCCTGGGGTATCCGGGCTCTGGGAGGGAGATAGGACAGAGAGATGTCTGTTTTGCTTGCTGATGGCTTCCAGCCACTGCTGCTGACAAACCGTGGAATTAAGAAGATTCCTAAGAAGTCCATAATTGAAGAGATTTTATAGGGCTTTTTCCTTCCCTTATAAAGCATTAAGAACTTTTAGCTTCTGTGATGCATAACTTTAAACTCCTATCTTGTCAGGGAGGAAATGCTAATGACTTTGAACTAATATGATTATAAGAATTATATGATATAAAGCTGATACATTTTACTGAATATAAGCAATAAATACCCATCCAGTCAGCTGTAGCAATCAGTATCTTCATAGTTCTGGGTATACATTGCTGATGAAAACATGCAATTATTTTTCTTAATGGTATGCCTAGGAACCAATCATTATGTGAAGAATAGGGAATTAAACATTCCTTTATGTGCTTAGTTTCTTTAGAAAAGTAAAAGAACTTTAGAAATCAGCCCAAACTTAGGGCTCTTATATACCATTCAAAACTTCCTTTGTAGTCAAAGTTAGGATCACAGTTAAAGAAAAAAACGTATTTTGTCATGTCCCCTGAATTTGACATTAATTACCAACTCACCATAAATGCCTGTCAATATGCTGCCATTTTATAAAACTGAGACTCAGTATTTGTATATTTGGAAATGGGAAGTATATGTGTGTGAGAGACAGAAAGCTTCCAGAGTTCCTAGAATACATATTTCCCAAGTGTAAAGGTACTTAGTTGTATGAATCTGAGGAAGTAAGGACAGAACCTGTTTTCCATTTTCTTCCTCTTTAAAAGATCTCTCTAGTGGCCTGATCAGCAGATAGTATGTCATCACTGAGGGTCTGTTTCCCCAACCAAGGCTGGGGATGATACTTTAATGTATCTAGTTGGATAAAAACTTCAATCACCTAGAAATATTTTTCTATAAAAAGTGAGGGCTGGGGTTGCATCTCAGTGGTAGAGTACTTGCCTAGCGAGTGTGAGACCCTGGGTTTGATCCCCAGAATTGCAAAAATAAGGAGTCACAGGATAAATTCTTAAGAACCACTTGCCTATCAAGTCCTTGCTACAACTGATCCACTTTCAATGTTGACAGATTCAGTATTTACCAAGTGACTACACTCAGTAAAATACACCAGTTGGTTATTTTACATTGCAATGTAAGTTACCTATTTTATTCATTTATTATAGAATTCCTATATATGAGCATGGCATTTTATCTTATTATTTTTAAAAATTATATAGTTGTTATTCATTGGTGATTAGCTAATTTGGCTTTCTCAACTCCATTTAGATTAGATCCCTCACACAATATTAAAACCAAAAAAAAAAAGGCATCTGTTGGAAAATATTCCAATAAGCCCTTCTTTTGAGTTTTCATTTAAAAATCACGGACCTTAACAAGAAGTGAATGTTCTCAAGTAGAAACTTACATAGTCTATCAGCTCATGGCCGGCACAGTTGATGGCTAGATGCAGATTGGTTCCCAGTTCCAGCCCCAAGTTGGCACAGATTCCCTGTATTAGAAGCAGCAGCTGTTCTACGGTGTCACAGGTAATGATCAAACAACCAAGATGGGACATCTTGCTAGTGATGGGTGGCTACACGGTCAGAAGAAAATGATGAATGTCAGCCCAGCACATTAAGGTCCTGAGATAGTCCTAGCTCATAACGGGACACAGCTCTCCAAGACCAAGTCCTTCCATTCTTGATTAATCCTACTTCCAGGTCCCACTTTCAGGATTTTGGGCATATGATTTACCTGCACTATCTGCCTATATTATTGTTTTATCAGCTCTGTCACTGTGCATGGGGCTAGCTAGCCTAAGCCACCACCACCAGGTCAGTAAATCTCCAGGCTGTCCCTGTAAATGTCCACCAGTCTCCAGCTCACCAGTCCTCTTCCTCAAAACTTGCCCTTTCTTATGTTCTGTTTTCCTATAAATGAACATAACTGCTAAAACTTAAAAATGTAATCCTCCTTCAGCATAAGTTTTATTTTCAGAAGGATTGAAGACTTTGGTTGAAAAGATGCATTACTGGGGATAGATTTTAGTAAGGAAGATCTGGGGACCCAAATGACCCCAGGAAAAAGCAGCTATCTGTTTCTACTGCAAGGTCAGCCTTGACATGCCCTCACCTATATTGCTACATTATGATTGCAAGGTGAAGCAGTACCCATGGTTCTGAGGGCTTAAGAGTAGATGTGAACCTAGGTATAAATATTAGTAATGGCACTAATTATAAGAACATCCAACATTTTTAATGTCAATAATAGGAAGCTTCTATTGAGCAAGCAAAGAAACAACTGGGAAATTTTTGCCTATTGATTGAGTTTAGTAAAGCTTCAGCTGAATTCCATGAAGCAAATGCAGCTGTTCTTATGCTAACACCATGAAGCAGGACTGCCGTTATCTCCATTTTACCAAGATGACGTGATCTGGGACAGATTTTAATGCTGGCAGAATCCACCCTTAATTCTGGTGTGGTAGCTTATCCAGAACCTATTATCTAACCTGTTTCTAACAGGGAAAAAAACAAATTTTTTTTAAAGGGAAGCTGATCACAGGGCAGATCTTGGCCTCAGCCTCTCAGTACATGCAAGACAACCTGCTAGAATGAAGAGGACAATGTTAATTGGTCAACGCTTCTCCATCCCCACCTCTCTTACAAGGCCTAATTAGAGTGTTGTGCTCATTCCAACATATAACTGCCAAGGATTTTACTTGCTGATGAATTTATTCACATTTTCTTAAGTTTCTTTCTGAGCTGCCCCCTCTTTGTTGACTTCAACAGACTCTGAAGTCCCTGACTGTGTGCTGGGACTGCTGCCTTACCCAGAGACGCTGTAGACCTGAGAGGCCTCCACCCGCCTGCATCACCTCCAGGGTTCTCACTGAAGATACTTTGGAAAGTTAGACATATATAATAGGTACATGTATCAGAGCATCCACAATCACCAAAGTGACTGACCAATGAAGTTAGCTGACCTCCCAAGGCTCTGGAGGCCAAGTGGCCACTTTTCACAAGGATGGTTTGCCTGAACTCTCCTGGCAAACTCTTGAGTTCCCACAATGGCTCCTCTTACGTAGTGCTTTTCAGAACCAGAGAGAAGGAATGGCTATCTTTTTGTGCCTTTTTCATTCTATCACTGGTAGTGGCAGAATTAAAATCTAAAACATCTAAAAGCCTTTCAGCTAGTTATGGGGACATTCAGCTTCCTAAGCCCTTCACTGTAGGGTCAGATATAATCCTGTTCCTCATAAATGCTCCCAAGTCCTCTGAGACTTTGGCAGGCTGACAGCTGCTGGCAGCCATGGCCAGGTAGCCTGTTGCTGGAAAGGCAGTGGCCGACTGATGTTCCAGCTCTGGGTTGGTGCCCTTAAAGCAACATCACCCTGTGTTTTCCATTTGTCTTGAAGCAAAGTAACTATGGGAGAGAAAACGAAGCAGGTTACATAAAGCACCCTACAGAAGTGTGGTGAACGCCTTCGTATACGCACTTGACCTCTTTTGCTTCCATTATGTCCTTTTTTGGTCTCCACTTTTGGAGGAGGGGGCTGTGGAATAGAAGGTAAAAACATAACCACTTGGGATTTTGAGACTTAGCTGTGGCAGCAAGAAGAGTTAAGATCTTCTAACTATCCACTTATGGGGACTGGGCAGCCACACTGCAAATCTCAGACACAGACACCCACACACATACACACAAGGAGGATGAGTCCAGCTACTCCCTACTTTTTTAAGTCCCATTCTCTAAATTCAGGCACATATGTCCCCATATTTCCTTCTGCCCCCAGTCATACCCATAGATTTGTGTTTCTACTCTTGGGAATGAAGTATTTGCACATCAAGTGGAACTCCTGCTCTCTTTTGCCAGAGGATGCAAAATCCCCTCTTGATCTTAAGGAGTATTATTACCTTCTACCATTGGATTTGCTTCTATAGGCCCAACATATTGTTTATAATATTCTCAGGGTGTGTGTGTGTATATATATATATATATATATATATATACACACACACACACACACACACACACACACACACACACACTTTCTCTTGCAGAGTGGATTTGGGTTTTGGAAATAGCCAATGGTCCTTAAATCCTTTACAAATTCCTTAAGGATGATGTTAGCACAGAGCCAGCTATCTCAGAAATCAAAATGAGAGTCTGTCCTCCCAGCTTCTCAGGAGGCTGAGGCAGGAGGATCACAAGTTCCAGGCTAGCCTGGGCAACTTAGTGAACCCTGTCTCAAAAAAAGAAAAAATAAATCTTCAAACTGAGATTGTTTAATACATTTAGAAAATGGATCCATAGCAAATGAGGAATGTATGCACTTGGTTTGCATAAGAAACCCAAAATAAATGTGTTTTCCATAGCAGTAATACCAATATTGACTTAATGCCAAAATGAAATAGGAGTTGGATGCTAGAAGGCAAAGGTCAATAACTAGACACCATGGATTGTTACTTACCAGTTCCATTACTTTGTTAATTTGTTTCCGAATTTCCAGAAGCATCTCCACACCCTGTAAGTAGAGTAACCATCATCTTCCAAAACTGTTGTCTACAAATATTAAATGCGAACACTTACACCACCTGTCTGTTCCTAACTCAGAATATTTGTAGAGTCCCTGAAAATGGCCCCCAGTTGGTGGACAGGGTGAGCTGCAGAATTGGAAGATTAAATGTTAATCTCCAGCCCCCAGCTTGCATTTGACTGAGCATGAGCAAAAGCCTCTGTCTCAGCCTCCTCATTGCTCAGAATTGACTGGCCCTGTGATTGGAACAAGTTAATTTCAGACTCTTTCATGGTCTTTAAGCCAACCTAGTCAACATTATTGCAATATGTGTCACAGGTCAACAACGTAGTCTGGATAAGAGTGGCCAAATCAGTTTAAATCCACTTTCACTTAAAAATTCAAGAATGTGCTCTGAGGATGATGACATCTGTGTAAAGAAGGCATGCTGAGGCCTCTGGTATCAAGCAGCACAAGTACTATCCAAAGGAAAGATCCTGGTGAGGGGATCCAAATCTGACCTGGCAGATGGTGAGCCAGACAGCAATCTGTCTTCTGTGACTGATCAATTGCAAGGTAATAATGATTTTTCTGAAGAAAGAATTCTCATAAAGGAAGCATCCTGAGGGTTTATTTTTAAACCTAGTTCCACTAACTTAGAAAAATATCAGTCTTTATTCCGGGAGGTATGGGAGGAAGCTTCCTGAACTTTTTCTGAGCGTGTAGACTGCAGAACATACACCTTTAGCTCTCCTGACTGGCAGAACAATTCGTGGAGATCCAAAGAGGCATAATGGCTCTTTCAGGCCACTGAAGAGCAACGTAGACAACACTAGCCCACCTCTGAGAAATGAGCATGAAATTTAGGATTCCTTTCTTCCTTCCATATATATGCACTAAACATCCCTTATGTGCCAGGCAATCTGCTAGGCCTGGAATTCTTCACAGAGTGGGCTGCCAGGAAAGTGCCAGCTTCCACTAGCTACTGCCAATAAAAAAAAAAAAAAAAAAAATGAAGGTCACAGACTTCCCAACTCCCCCAGGTAACAACCATCCCTCACCACAGAGGTCTCCAGAGTCACTCGCTCCTTGCTTCTCTGTGATTCAGAGGCATGAGCCAGTGCTGTGTCAAACCAGACATCAACAGGGTCTGCTCCCTTTGGGGGTCTTACTTTCTTCCCACTTCCCTGATTTCCCTAAAATATTTTGTTTTTAATTCTCTTTCCCTTTGGTGTCATAAGGGAGCTATGCTAAAAAAAAAAAAAAATCATCAATGATGGAGTATTTGGTTTTTTCTTTACTTTAAAAAATTTTTTTTAAGAAAATGTAGTCTGGGAGTAATATAAGATACTTGTTTGGTTGTCAATCCAGGATGGGGAATGCAAATCACTTCTTTCATTAAATTTAATTTTCCAGGTGATGACTTCCCACAGCTGGCGAGAGATACCATCAGCAAAGGCATAGTTAGTGTTGTTGGCTGTTCCTAAAATAAGAGGAAAGAAGGGGAAAATGAGAAATGTGATTCATTCACATTGAGCCCCTCAGGGCTTCTCATGGTGGAATAAAACAGATCCTAACCTGATTGTGCTTCAGCAATGCAATGTTCAAGTACAGAGGAATACTGCCCAGTATGGCGCTAGTTTTGGCAATAGCTAGTGACACAGCTCCTATGGCCATACTGCCGCAGAGCACGGGTTCAGCAGGTTCTGCAGGCGGGATAGGTTTCTCTGTGATGGTGTCCTTCCTTCCTGGAGGAAAAAGACAGGAGAAAAGGGGGAGAAATGAATGACAGTAGAGGGGGTAGAGAGAGAAGAGGGGAGGGGAGGGGAGGGGGGATAGTAGAGGATAGGAAAGGCAGCAGAACACAACAGACACTAGTATGGCAATATGTAAATCAATGGATGTGTAACTGATGTGATTCTGCAATCTGTATATGGGGTAAAAATGGGAGTTCATAACCCACTTGAATCAAAGTGTGAAATATGATATATCAAGAAATTTGTAATGTTTTGAACAACCAACAATAAAAAAATTTAAAAAAAGACAGGAGAAAAGATTCTAGGAAGTTGGACTGTCACATGACTGTATCTTAAATGCTTCACTGACAGCTGGGAATGCCCAGCAAAAATGAAGGTTGAAAACAGGCTAGGAAGAACCTGTTCTCCACCTCAAGTGCCCAGAAGTTTTCTGTTTGATTTCACTTACCTATCCCCCCAAAATTCTGAACTGTGAATTTTGTCTAAGCAATTTGAGGCCAATGCAATATCAACTCCTTCAGTTGTCAAATGAGGTAGATATTTGTTATCCAACATCCTACGTGAGCGAGCTGGGGCTTCAAGAGATGAAAAGACTTGTGCAATATGTTACAAAAAGTGAATGAAGAAAGGATTTGGATGGTCTTTTGAATTCTAACTCCTTTGCTTCTCTGAATTTCTTTGAGCTGCTGCACACCCCACCTTCTGTTAAGCATCTAGTCAGTGTGTATACCTAACTTGCCACCTTCTTCACCAGTCCTAAACTCATGTTTGCTTCCGTGTTATTTACCATCTCTAGAAATGCCTTAGGCCCAATAGTCTACCCAGAATCTTTGCCATCTTTCACAGATTCTCAGCCATGCTGTCTGATCAGGTACCACAGAATTCATCATCAACCTGTAATGTTCTTTTGTCCTCCCCCCCCCCACAGCTACTGACCCTGGCTCAGGTCCTCAGTGGAGATGAGATGCCTAAGCAGCCAGCAGATATCCAGATACCTAGATATCTAGTGCCTAGCAAGTTACTGTCCCCTCCTACATTTTCTCCTCTCATAAAGTCTAAGTTCTTTCAGTCAAAAGCTGCTGCCAAATGAACATCCATTGGTGGCCTATATTGTAACTCAATAGTGAGCATCTCACTCTTGGGACAGAAGACAGGTCTAGCATGATTCTGTTCGTAATGGGGCCCATTTAAAATTAAAAGCCCCAAATTGTTTTTTTCCTTCTTAGCCTCAGCCATTTCCCCTTAACCTATTCATTAAGCTATTTTCTCCATCACAGCTTCCTACAGGTGATAGTCTCACACTGAAAATGGAAGCTAAACTGCCCCTGCCCCCAAATCCCTGGCACCAACACAATTTGGAAAATCAGAATCATAACAATCTTTCAGATAGCACAGCCTGGCTGAATCTACATATGTATATTTCCTGGCTTTGTTCCTATAAATCATAATATTCAGAAGGCAGATTAGCTGTCTTTCCAGTTTGGGCCAAATTATGATTAAATTCATTTTTCTTTTTGTATCATTTTCTCTCATTTCAGATTTGGGTGGGTGATTGAATCTAGTCAGTCGGGACCCCGGGAGGCCTCTGGCCTGGGTCCCAGGAACATTTTGCCTTGGTCAATTCTCTTCCCTTTGCTGGACCTCAGCAGCTGCTATTAATGAAATAAAGGACCTGTCTCCATGGTCTCTTTGGTCACTTTTTGGTCTGGTGCTCTTATTCATCGGTACCCACATTTACTGGGTGGTTGGCTGTGCCTGGCATCATGCTAGACTTTAGCAATGGCAAGCTGAATGAGGCAGGAGTCACTCATCCCCGCAGGGAACCCTCAGTTTAGTAGACATAAAAGCACAATTACAGCAGAAGTTCCAGCACTAACACAGCGGAGGGGCTAATGTTAGCTAACTATTGGAAGACAGGAAGCAAAAGGGCAAAGTGATACCCTGTATAATTTGCTTTAAAATACTAAAGTTGCTTAAAGAAAATGTTTATTTACGTGTGACATAAGCCCGAGAAAGTGTTGGTTTCGGAAAGTGTCGGATTTACATTATATCAAAGGATTCAGTATTCTAAAATATAGAGTGGCCCTTTGATTACTTAATGGCAATTTCCTGAGGAGGTGAAAGTTCCCCGTGTCATCCCATCTCCACCCTACCACTCATTGCCACTGTGTACTTTAACTTCTTTCTTTCTTTATTTTTTGTAGTGCTGGGGATCAAACCTCTACAGTGACCTTCACCCACAGTCCTCAATGCACTTTATTTACCAAGTGCTCACTTCTAAGTGATAAACTAATCATTTTTTCTCAAAAACAAAAATGGAGGGTAATGTGGGTCCGACTTAGCACAGCAGCTTCAAGCAGGGACATGACATGGAGGGTGGGTGGCACTTGGCTGGGAGCCAGCCAGCCTTTCTTCCTCTCATGTTTGTCACTAAAGGTTCTGAAGATGTCTGGCCACCAACCTGGCTTCTGCCCTTTCTTTTTGGCAGGAGGCGGAGGGGGTGGTGGTGGCATTACAGGTGGAGGTACTGGCACTACTGACTCTTCCAGGCTCCTCTCTAGTTCTTTCCTCTCCTTGTCTTCTTGTACTTTATTTGCGAAGAATAACCTTAATGGCGAGAAAACACAGTTTTACAGTGACATTTAGGAATACCACTCTGTGCTTTTGGTTGAGTTTTAGAGTTGACCTGACCCCATTGTGCTTCAATAATATGCTCTATGGCAACTTAAGGACAAATCAGCTTCAATTTCCAAGACCTAAAAAGAATGCTCCTGTTATAAAACTGTGTTCAAGAACTGAAATTCATTTTGGCCTAGAAAGAAATGTTTAATGATTTTCAGGGGCTCATTTTTTAAATTACTTGAGTTCTGTTTGCATTTTTAAAAATTACACACACACACACATTTTAGTTGTCGATGGACTTTTATTTTATTCATTTATTTATACATGGTGCTGAGAATTGAACCCAGGGCGTCACACATGCTAGGCAAGGGCTCTACCACTGAACCACAACCTCAGCCCTCTGTTTGCAATTTCAAAGTAAAATTTAAAGACCTGGGGCTGGGATGTGGCTCAAGTGGTAGCCCACTCACCTGGCATGTGTGAGGCATTGGGTTCGACCCTTGTATTTTTATTACGTAAAAATAAAATTAAAAATATTATGTCCACCTAAAACTAAAAAATAAATATAAAAAAATTTAAATACCTAATTTGATGAAGGGCTACTCAATTATTTTTGTATAAATGACATTCAGAAGACAAATCCTTCAAGAATACAGTGGAATACACAAAGAGCAGTATGTGGCTGATGTCTTATTTTTGGAAGAGGAAACGGGGGGTTTTTAAAGGGAATACTTTTAAAAAGTTTGGGAAATGCTACTTAAGTACAACTATGCAACAATTTTACTCCCCCAGAATAAATAAATTTTTTTAAAAAAGAGACTAAAATTTCCATAGACAAAAAGCAAGCAAATAAAAAGACATGGGAATCGGATTTACATTATATTTGTGAATAATCTAGATGCTAGTGAGGCAGTGCCTTTAACGGACCGAGAGAAATTGCTTTGGGCATAGAATTCTATACTCAGCCAAACTATCAATCATGAAAACAGAGTACTAACATTTCCACATATATCAGAACTCAACAATCTTACTTCCCATATACCCTGTCTCACCTGTACTTTCCAAGAATAGAATCCATCAAGTCAAAAAAGGAAAATATGGAATCCAGAAACAGGAGAACATAAATCTTTATGGTATCTCTGTGGTAGACCCAGAGAGGAACCAGTCCAGGAGCAAGCCCCCCTCCCCCAAATAATATGTGGAATGGCATTCAAAACCTCCAAGAGAACCAAAAACTACTTTACCAAACTAAAACATTATACACAATTTAAAAAGTGATAAAGCTTAAGGAAAGAGAATCCAGTTGGCCTTTGCTTGGCCAAGGGGGTTGAGGCCTTAGGCCTGCACAACAGGAAAAGTGATTAACCCTGTTACCTGGTGCAGTACCGAGCTGTACTTACACAGCCCTTTCTGAAAAATGCTTCCTTGGTTTTTGAATTTTAGAGTCAACCCATGAGCTAAGTATGAAAAGACTTGGTTGTTGGAGGACAGGGTATAAGCAACAGCCATTGTGACTACATGGAAGGACATGAGCAGCTCAAAAGGTGGCCCCTGAAGGGGTGAAAAGAGGGAGAGAACATTATCTGGATTTCTAACTTGATCCTTCCCTTGTGCTGAATCCCAGGGATGCTCTACGCCTGAAAAAAGACAAAAAGGCCCTATGTAACCTTACATAGTAAAATTTTAATAGCAGGATTTTCAGCAGAAAGACAATATTTTATGTTAAATTTTGCTGCCTTAATATATGCTTTTTAAATTGACTTCCCAACTCTGTAAATTTCTGACTTATTGGCAGGTGAAATGTAGACAATAGACTCTATATATTCTTGATGGTTTCTATTTCAATGGAGGCTGTACCTGAGCATGTGATCCACCTGGGCCTGGTTGGAGGGCACCAGGCCCTGCAACTCCTCGGTGATGGTCTCATTGACCCACTGTATGGCCGTGCTCACTGCCAGGCCCCTTTCCACCTCCTCTGCCTCCACCACCTCTGGCAAAGCATTCTCGTGGACCTCAAAGTGAGTGGGGATCATGACGGAGCAGATGTTCTGAAAATAACATGAATGTGATCTATGGTTTCCCTATCTCTCATAGAAAATAGGAAATTGGATTAATCCATCTTTTAACGTGCATGGTCTTTATCACCAATTCCAAAGGAAATGAGAATATGTATAATTTTCTTTGAGATATTTTTATAGTTTTTGAAACTGTAAAACCTGACTTCATGAAACATTTAAAATTACTACTTCTTAAAATGTAGTAAACCCTACACTGAACTTTATTTTTTATCACTACCTCTTCAATAAATAGCTATAAGGATATAAACATGTTTAATCATAATTATTCTCCTAGAGTTTGTAGCAAAATTAATTTTTAATTTAGAAATTAATTTCTAACAAATATGGTGCAAGTAAGGCGAATTAAAATGAATTTCTGAAATTATTTAAACGAATCATTTAAATCAATCTACATATCTATAAATCTATATATAAATATACAAACCTATAAACCTGTATGTTGATTTATTAAACTCATCACATTAGTAATTTCAGAGTTTTAAAACTATTTTTACCTCATTTTTGTTGTTCATCTTGGATATTCCTCAGGTTAGCATGTTACATTTGTATCAAAATTACACTTAAACATAACAAAAATATAAATCATGGTTGGTTGACTCACATTTACGCGACTAGCTATGAACTATATTTTTTACAAACACTGAATTTCAAAGCATTAATTTTCTACAGTTTAGACAAAAGTTGCTAATAAATGCAGTGGATTCAAGATGTGTTAAAGAACACATTTTAAACTGGCTCATACCTTGGGAAAATTTTGAATGGTGCAGAATATTTCCACTTGTAGGGTTGGAAGCCCCAGTCCATCCAGTACATTTTTCCCCACTATTTTGCATAGGGTGGGAGGCTTTGCAAGTTTAGAAAAGTAGTTTGCCTTCAACACACACAGACACACAAAAACAAAAATCAGAATAGCACATCTAATTTATCTTCAAAAGGTTGTTCACATTTACACTAGTTTAACAAAACCTCTCCATGAGTGTCCTTACTGGCACCGGGGTTAGACTACAGCTCCACGGGAACAGCCCTGCTCTAACCATCATTGAGATTTGGATTCTACCCTACGACAAGTCTCTGGCACATGGGACAATGTGTTGTCATTCGAAATCTCAATGGAAACCATGATACTTTTCTTAATTTAAACTTTAAGGTCTCATGTCATTCCTGAAAGCCTTCTGATAGTCAACTCAATTCCCTAATATATCTCTAGAACTCTGTGACACATTCAAATTTAATAACCCTGAGGAGGACTGAATTTTATCCCTCCTAGCAAGGCACCTGATCTTTAAAGGATGAAGACTAGTGCAGTCACTGCATCTCACTAGCTCATGCGTAGTCCTACGTGGGCAAAAAAGCTCATAGGGAACTTAGAACTAGTCATTTGATTGAGGTGGAAAAGCAGAAGCCAACTGGAAGTGATCTAAGGAAGAGGGTGAGGAAAGAGAAGGAAGCTAAGGTGGAAAGCCCACTCCAGGACCCTGAGTGAAAAATCTCCAGGTGGTGGTTCACTGCAGAGGAACTGGGGTGAGGAGAGGATAGAAGCAAGGAAAGCGAAGCTGCACCCTCCTCACTCTCTATTTCCATTTAGCAGATTAGGTCTCTGATCATTCATTTCAAGAGCCAGTGGCTTCAGCCTAGACAACAGGTATTCTAACACCCACAGCAACAAGCCAGCTCAAAGGTGGGGACTTGCAGACCTGAAGCAGAAGCAATTTCCAGCCTTCTGAGCATTTAAGGATGGTGGTTTGTGTGTTACAAAGTAAGTGCCTAAATGAATGCGGATATACTTAAGGGATGAAAAATGTTACTAAGCTTATATAATTTGTGTTCAACAAGTACCAAGTGCCTAGGACCTTCAGTGTACCATATTGCGTTTGGAGGGGAAGGGAACTAACATTTCCAAGTGCTTAATACTTTTCATTGACCCACTGTATGGCCGTGCTCACTGCCAGGCCCCTTTCCACCTCCTCTGCTTCCACCAGCTCTGGCAAGCATCCTTATGGACCTCAAGGTGACTGTCTTCCTTTTACTATGGTATCACACACCATAGTGCTTGGCATAAATAGAATTATTATTTAAATTAATGATTATCAGACTCATCCCTGGGCACTCTGTGTATATTTTGTTATCAGATTCCCAATCTGGTTAGGTAGGTGGTATCATCTCCATTCCACAGAGGAGCAAATTGAGCTCCAGAGAAATAAAATGTCCAAGATCGCATTCCCATGTTTTAATGATCTAAAGCTTTAAACAGTCCTCCTTGGAACTTAGTGGCAGAAACCATTTATTGGCTCAGAGTTCTGCTGAGTTGCACTCAACTGGGGACATTCTTTCACTGGCTGTGTCTGGGTTCTCCTCTGCAGATGAAATCATCTGGAAGCTTGACAAGGGCCAGAACAGCCAGGGGCTGGCTGGGCAGCCGTCTTTCTCACAGGGACCCTGGCTGCCTGACATCTGCCAAGGCCTCTTTGTATGATCTCTCTCTCCAGCAGGATAATTGGACTTCCTCACAGCATGAGGACTAGCTTCCAAGAAGACAAGTCTCAATATGCCAGCACTTACCAAGCCTCTGGACATGCCTGCCAAGGTCCTATTGATCAAAGCCAGTCACATGACTGAGCCTAGAGTCAATGTGGAAGGGACTTCCATCAGAGGGTTCACACTGGAGATGTGTCCATTGGGGGCCCAGAAATGTAATAATCTCCCACAGCTAGTAAGTGCTGGAGCTAAGGATCAAACCCAGATCTGCCTGATTTCCAACCAAGGCTCCTTCATTCATGAGTTTTATGATGAGGAAACACACTATATTGCTGTTGCCTGCAGGGATCCAGGGATCTTCTCCATCCCTGAATTCCTATGAAGCCTGAGAAACAGGAGAAATGATAATTGAGGTGAACACTTAGATGATGGATAGTATTTCAACAGGCAGACATGCAGGAAAGTGGAGGATAGATACTTCAGGCAGATGAGCAAGAGGAAGCAGGTGAAACTTCAGGCAGTAGGGGACAGCAGTCCAGTGTAGAGGAGCAGGGATCGGGGAGTAGAAGATAAGCCTGTTACTGGAGGGAGCGGCTAAACACCATGTACCACAGTGTGTGATCTTAATTAGCAAGGAAAGGGAAATCTCTGGAGGTTTCTGAGCAAGAGAATTAAGGTGAGAGAGTGTGAGGAACTCAGGCAGCACTGTGAAGAATGGACTTGAAAGACTAGATGAAATAGGGATGGCCCAAACTAGGGAATGACTAAGAAAATGAAAGGAGGTTGTGTTTTTGCCATTGCAATTCCTGAACATCCTTCAAAGCTCTTTTGGCCAATACAGACTACAGGGATCTTCTCCATCCCAGAATTCCTTTAATAGACAAAGTGAGCTATTCCTCAATCTAGCACACAATCCTTTATCAACATAGGTTTTACTCCATTTATTATATCAGTGACTAGTGTCCCTAAACAATTTATAAGCTGTCAGACACCTGTACTCTGCTAGATAAAAGGATGCAGAGCTGGCTTGATTTTTTTTCTCCTCATCACTGAGAAAATAATTTAAATTCAAGGATCACAGGCTCTTTGTTTGGAAAAGGAGAATCATTTTTACCTCACCGTGGTTCTAAGGATTAGTGAGATAACATTCAGCACAAAGCACAGGGTCTCAGTGAACATAAGGCACCTGGACCCCCCCAACATCTTTGATGTATACACCATGGAGGGAAGGAACATTCACGGTGTTCTGTCAACTGCTCAGACGTAGGTTTGTACGCTCACAGCACATCATGCTCCGTCACAGCACTTGCACACTTTGCTTGTCCTTCTGCCACCTCCTCGCTTCCCATTACCATAGTGCAAACTTCCACCAGCCCAACCACACTGCCTTCCAGATGCTGTGTTGCCTAGTAGTTAGGGATCTGTAAACACATGCCTTCCTTTCAACTGCTCACCACTTAAGGAAGGCTAAGGCATGTGCCAGGTTTCAGGGTTGGGCAGAGGACTGTGGGACATGGTAAGAAAGGCCCCTGTGCTCAGTTCTCTAGAGCTGATGCAAAGGAATACAGTACACATAGGAAATGCGATAGATCCACCCAAAGACTCCTGGTGCAGGAAAATGTGGACAAGGCTTCTGCGAGAAAGGTGAAGTTTAAGGAGTAGCTGGCCCTGATAGAGGAGCTGGCACAAGCCAAAGAGCATAGGCCTGAAATTCCAGTGACACTTGGAAGCAAGGGGAGCCAGCTGGATGAGGCCCTGGATGGGTTGAGGCCAAATCCTAGCAAATGCCAGGACGTTGGTCTCATGGTCGAAATGGGGCCATTGAAGGTTGATGACTGAGAAGGAGCCACTCAAATCCGCATGTAAAAGACCACGGGGCAGGAAGGCACAGGGGCAGCCAGGCTCTGAGCTGTCGCTGCAGCTACAAATCTGTATACAGTCCTTTGTGCTCTGGCGGCCTCCTTTCCAGCACTTTCCCTGTGGAGAGCCCTTCGCCCCAGGGGTCGTTGCCACGTTCTCTCGCCGCCTCCAACGTCTCTGAACCCCTACCACCAGCCCCGGCGCCGCCGCGCATGCGCGGCTCTTGGCGCAAGCGCAGCGCGTTGCCGCAGCGTGGGGCGGGGGGAGAGGGGCTGGAGGGAGGAGGGTGCGCGTCCCAGGTCCCTACCAGGTGTCCGTAGACGTCGGCAGGCTGGAGGTAGAAGGTGGAGTTGAGCAGCTCTTCCAGCTTGCGCGGGACGTCGTTCTCCCGGTAGTACTCCATCGCCTGCTGCTTCAGCTTCTGCAGCTCCCTAGTGATCCCACAGCTGCCGCCGCCGCGTTCTTCCCCCATGGTAGGAGATTTAAGGCTACAGCGGGGTTTAGCCTGGGGGCCCGCGAGCGTCCTTTCGTCGCTAGGCAACGCAACACAACGAGATCCCGACCCCAGATCTCGCGAGGTTTCCAGCCGTAGGTTCCACCTGCAGCTGGGACCTCTCACTCCTTCCCGACCCCCTGGCGCCCCCCTCCCTCCCTCTCCTGAGGGGTTGATTCAGGGGTTGGGCTCTGAGACTCTCAGCTTTGTTTTCACCACTTTTCCCCGACGATTTTCCAGATGGGGAAACATTTAACCACTCCCTGAAGTGCGTTTTGCAGGAGCAGGGGAGCATTGACCCCCACTTACACTTGGGGCACGAACCCCGGGTGGCGCGTCGGCTTCCCAGTGGCTCTGGGACTCGGCGGTGCAGCCTTCGCCGTCCGCCTCCTCATTCCTCGAGGCCTGCGAACTCCTCTGGTTTCGAGGGCGGCCCGCGCCAGGCACCCTGGGGGCAGGGACATGAGAACCCAGGCTGTCGGTACGCATCTGTGGCGGTCCCAGGAATTCGTTCAGTCAGCTGATATTTGTAAACAACCTGCTCTGAGCCTAGCAATGTGCTGGCTGCACGTACTGTGATGCCCAGGAGAGAAACGGTTATGCACTCTCCCCGGGGAGGTTAGTGGGAGTGAAAGCAATGCGAGGAAAGCACAGTGTGAGCTGAAAAATGGTTGGGGGGTAATGGACCTTAAAGGATGGTTATGGTTAGGATAGGCCTAGGAGTGGGGTAATGCAGGCAGGACTTTGGGAGATGAAGGGGAATGAAGGAAGGGCCTTGGGTCATGTTCCCTTTCTGGGAGGCTGCCTACTTCCTTCCCTTTTAAGTCCAAACTACATGCCTGGCTTCCTTACACCTTACTGAGCACCTTACACAGGTATCATTCATGAGGTTGCAGGCCTTCCTAAAGTGCGCCTTCTGCTCTAGATATTTCCACTGCTGCAAAAACGGGCCGAGATGTACAGGGTGTACTTGTTCTACTTTTGCCTGTTTACTTTCCCAACTTACGCAGTTCACTTAAAACATCCACATTGCTCTTGTTTGTCTGGAAAACATTATCTTACCTACTCTGCCTGCTTTGTAAGTCACTTAGCATAAAATGAGGAAGCAACCTACAAAGCACCTGGAAACAAGATAGTTATTTTCCATAAATGCACGTGTGAAGGTAAATGAATAAAATTAAGCGACTATAAATATTGTATACAAACACAGATATGCACCTACCCACAGATATGCTCCCTCGGTATTTTCTCTGAATCTCTCATGAAATGTCTCCCTCTCTGTGGTGTGAGAGCATCACCGACCTGCCTCATCCTCCTTGCTGGATGGAATTCCCTTGATGCTAGGAGCGGATGCTGAGTCATCTGCTGGTCCACTGCAGAGCCTGGGGCCCTGCCAAGAAAGAGTCTGTGCTCTGCTGACTAGAGGCCCAGAGAACTTTTATACCAATGGAGCCAATATTGTTGCCCTTGTTTCCATTCCACCTTTGAGCCTTTCCTCTGTCCCCGGATGGGCGATACCCAGAACTCTCCTGCACCCATCTTTGAATATCTAGGTTGAATCCCACATCTTTAAAGAAGCTGCAAGCCACAACTGTCCCTCTGGCCAGCCCTTCCTTTCTTCTGAACTCTTTCCCCAGTTTCAGTCTTCACGGATATATTGACTTATTTGACATTTTAATGGAAAAGTGGAAAGTGTCCTGGGCTGGGACCATCTCTCAGGGGCTGCCCTCAATAACCCATTGACCTCTAAGTTCTTTGAGGACAGAGACCTGGTGTGTCTCTTTCACCATTGTGTGTACAGCATCGGTACATCACCTGACAGAACAGGTGCTCAGTAAATATTTGTTGGATGAATTAATGAGTTTTACCTATAATTGGTTAATAAATGCTTAACTCACAAGTGTTTTGGAGTTGGATGATACACCAGCCTGGTTTGGAGCAAAGGGTTCGTTTTGAGGAGGAATAATGAGAAATGAGGATGACAAAATTGTCTGGGGAGATTGTGTAGGAACTAAAGTCCCATTCAGTAGGAGAGAGAAGCACAAATTTCTGAATACAGGATGGACAAGATAGAAGCAGTTAACTGGCGGTAATAGGTAGGATTGATGGGTGTTTGGTTGTACAGAAAGTAGGAGACCCAGGTAGAAAATAATGTAGGTGTGAGGGTCTAAATGATAATGGTAGGGATGAGAATAGATGGATGAGCCAGAACAGGAAAGAAGGATGGAAAAGGCTCTGTGTGATTGGATGGGGATGGGAAACCAAAGACTCCTGAGGTAGGGTTTAGTTCTCTGCATTTGTCAGAAATGGGTTAAATGAGTTGTCTCCATGGAGCATGCTGCACTGGGTTAAAGATGAGTGGGACTTGAGGAGCACTGGCATCGCAGTGCAATGGGAGGACCCAAGTTGCTGATCAAAGTCATCCTAATGGGTTTCAAGTTGGAATAAGGACAGATGAATGCTCTGGAGGGTAATGGGAGGGGGGAAGAATCTTCTTGAAGTAAGGATATAAATATTAGAGAAGGAGTAGATTTAGGTTGTAGGAGAAGGACAAGGAGCCTTACTGGGAAATGAACAAAAAAGACAGAAGGAGAATGGAAAAACTCTAAATCTCAAAGTCCAGGGCAAAGACTTTTGGGAACATGTTGAGTGGGTGTTTGTGTGGGCGCATATGTGTAGAACAAAGTCTGAAAGGCTGGACCTGAGCAAGTTAATTTTGTGGCCCTTGGGGGATAGGATCATAGGGAACTTTTAGTTTCTTTTTATATATGGGTCATATCTAGTTTTCCTAAAATGAATGAGTTTCTTGTGTAACTTTAAAAAAATCCATTAAAAATATTTGAGGGAGCCTGGGCAACTTATTGAAATCCTGTCTCAAAATAAAAAGGGCTGGGAATATAGCTCAATGGTAGAGCATCCCTGAGTGTCAATCTCCAGTACCAAAAAAAGTAAAAAAAAAAAAAAAAAAAAAAATTGAGGGAAGGATGTTAAGTCAAAGGTTATAGGAGGGTTGAAGACTGAGAAGAGACTATTTGAAGATAAACAGTAATAATAGTGAGCTGCCATCCTGTTCTTCTTTCATCGTTCAATTAACAAATACTTATTAAATGCCTGCCATGTGCCAGGCACTGTCCTAGGCACTGACAAAAGAGCAATGACACTTAGAGACTTAGAGTGACACTACAAGTTCTGATGGTAGAGTAGCAAGCACATTGAGAGAGTCATTATGCAATAAACTGAAATAATAGAAGTGAAAGCCTTTAGGAAGTTCGTTTGCATGGACTTATTAGCAGCCTGTTAGTGTTGACAGATCCAGAGTCAATAAAATGATAATTCTTGAATATTCCCATTTTCTTATTTTCCATAGTTATTAGAAGCACCAGCAGTTTTGCTTGTACCTGTGCTTTTTTTTTTTTTTTTTTTTTTTTTTTTACATCACATATTCCTTGTTTTACCACGTTGCTGATCAAATTTCCATTTCACGCCGATACTCAATGTCCTGGCACAGTTCCAAAGCATGAAAGGGGTTGAAGGTGTTGCTAAGCCTTAAATTATCAACCTGGGAGTTGGGGATGGAAAGGAAGGAAAATAAAGAATCAATCTGGAGAGGCTCGGTAGATCTAGAAAGTTCCTAGAACTTATCCAAGTAGAGAGGGTGGGACTGAGCTGTCCTCCTTCAGAAGGAGGAAGTGGGGAGAAGCTAGAGGCCCAACTGTTGCCATCCTGTGAGTTGGTGCCTGCTCAGGAAGGCATGCATGATGTGAGGCAGGGACAATTTGGGAATGAGAAACCCTGGGATGGGATCCCAGTCATCTCAAAGATCTTGACTTCTCAGTAAAGAGGGAGGATGTTTGGACTGATCAGGTTTTGTAAATTTTCAGATATGAAGTCTCCTTTTTAACAACAAAAATGAAGCATCCATCACCCCCAACATTTCATAGGAGTTACATACAATGACCGTAAATTCAGTAGTACTTCTAGAAGCCTTTGTATTTCATTTAAGGAATGAAATGTGGAAAAGAACACATGTACCAACAAGCCCTTATTCAGTGTTGGGGGTTGTTGTTTGGTAAATGTATGGAGTTGGGGGCCCCTTCCTCAGAGTCCAGGATGTTCTCCGTGACCTTGGTTGAGAACCACTGAATTGGATCTTTCCATCTTAGATCTCTTCTGCTTTGTAGCTCTGATCCATGATAAAATATCGGGATATATTAGTCTATTCCAACCTGCTACTGGAAGACCCTTCTTAGAGGAAATTAATCATTCTTCATTCAAAAAGAATTGCTAACTCTATCAGACATTTCCTAAATGAACGAGGATAAAGGGAAATGTATTTGTTCATTTTCCCTTATTCCTACCCAATACCTTCATTTAAACTGGAACTTGTTTGCCATGACTTTAATGTTCGGAAGTGATTATTTAGATGTTATTTTGGGGTTGTTATCAAGTGCTTATTAATTATTCTTCTCTGCATTTGACATCTGTGTTGAATATCATTTTCATAGGGAACTAATGAGCATGATTGCAGGTGCCTTTAATCACAGAATCATAGAAACTGGAGACAGAATAGACAGAAAGTTCTGCCTTTGCTCATCCAGAAGATGGAAGTGATGATGTGCTAACCTTCCCCACCCAGTAGAATGGGAAACAGGATCGCCAACCAGGGGTCCCTGTAAAACGAATGATGCTAAGTAAAAGTATTAGGATGGTTTGACCAATTTAAAAAAAAAAGTAGTTTTTTTAACCTTTTTTTGTTTAATTGCTGATATCTCCTGACAGTAGTCAATACCCCTGTGGTAGTAATACTATATACAAAAACAAACACACACACACACATACACACACAAACAACAGCTGCTTTTGAGCTTTTTCATAAGCTTGGAACTTTACTTCCACCGTCCCACTGAATCTGCAGAACCACTGTCAAAGGTAAGTCACGGGCCAAGCTAACACCATTAATAAATAGCAGAGGTAGAACTTGAACCCAGGTCTAGCTGATTCCAGTGCCGATGCCTGTGGGTTGCCTTCCCATCCTG